ATTTCTTTAAGAGTGATCATGAGAAGTTATTTCCAAAACTCGTGCTTCGTGTTTCATCGGGGTATCCAAACACCTCGAAACAATAAAAGCACGAGGCCTACAGCCTCGTGCTTTCATTTGTTTCTCGGTGTTTGGATACCCCAATAAAACACTCGCTCTCGTTTTGGAAATAGTACATCCAACACTGTCACAATATACAGGACAGGTGTATTTAATGCAAACAGAATTACTGTCAATGATTGGAGATCGCTATGTCTGAGAAAAATAATTTACCAGCTTAATTATTGTGAAAGCTGCACTGGTAATCTACATCTGATTCGTTGTGATTCGATAATTGAGGGATATCAGTACAGTATGTCTAAAGACAGGGCTATTGAATCACTCGTGTCACAAAGTTATTCTTCATTTATTCTGATAATAGAATGCATTGGTGTCAGTATCTATCATACTGATAAAAAAACAATAGCCTCCATTTTGAGCAAAAAATGCTAGGATATTTGTCCAGCAGACATTATCTGTTCCGAGAAACAAACAGTTTTCCAAGATCATAGCTTGAGGAAAACTGTGAGCTTCGAGGAGCAAATAAATTCCAAGCATATTTTTGTGCCAAATGGAGGCTAAAATTTTGTGTTTATTATCCTTCAAATCTTTTTTGCAACATGCACAGTTTTGAAATTTGGGGAGCATTCTCGGATATTTCCCAGTTTTAGCTGGGGAATATTTGGTCATGTGACATGTTAAGACCAATTACCCATGAGCAAAAATATTTGATGCATTGTAATGGGAGTTCTAAGGTACTTCATTCTCAAATTCATTAATTATTCATGTGCTGATGACCCAATCAGCTTGCATCAATTGGGTCAGGTGCATGTATTCTGATACCCAATGAACATACCAATCAAGACACATTCGATTAGTTCAAAAACTGATCAAGACACTGATCAAGAAACTTGAATTTTAATCAGTCTTAATACTAAATACAGTATATTTGCTGCTTCAATCATTACTTACAACAACAATATGGCAAGATATTATCCTTTCTTAGACACCATTACATTAATTGTACAGTTTTTTAATTTCCTTTCTGGAAAACAGCATCCTTAAAAGCAGTAGATTCGTTGTAGAAATAGATCGTGTTCCCAGCAATTCCTTCTCCCAGAATGTTGCTTCTTCTTGCTCGCTCACAGACTCCTTCACCTCCTTCTTGCACTTAATATGAAGCCCTTCTCGAACGCCATCCTTCATCTCAGCATCTAAGCAACGTCGGAACAGGACAAACCTTTGAAAAACAACACACCAAATTCAATTCCCAAAACAGTGCATTTTAAAATTCTGAACAATGCAGTCTAAAAGTTGTCAATTACCTTTTGTCACTAGTGTCCAGAGGATTCAAAGCTTCGGATCCTTTTTTCTCCTCCAAATAATGCTTGAGGGCACAATTGATACCATAAACAGTCTTGGGAGGGTATCCTCCACCAGACCTTTTAGCTACCTCCATCACGCCTTCTAATTACCTATTCTTCAGAAATAATCCTACTAAATTTTCACTCAAGTTTGAGAAGCCAGCTCAAAAACTCGTACTTCGTTTTTCATCAGGGGTTCCAAACACCTCGAAACAATGAAAGCACTTTGCCTTCGGCGTCGTGCTTTCATCCATTTCTCGGTGTTTGGAACCCCTGATGAAGAACTCACACTCGTTTTTGACCTATTACTTCTCATTCAAGAGGCAAATAAGGTAGAAGCCATCCCTCAGGTACATGTACACTATAAGATGTACCATTCATTCAGAGCTTAGTACAATATTTCCAGACTATTATAAACACTCACAAGGTGACAATTATGAACTCAGAGGAGTGCAGATTAGTACATAAGAACTAACTGCAGTGAACAGTGTGAGAGAAGAAGACAGCTGCTCTCACAAACAATGCTGTGAGCACTGTAGGACTTTATGCAGTGTGTAGCAAAGTCCCGTGTGTGATTATTAAAATACCAAACATGACAGTGACCCCAGTCTCCTCTGACACATGACATGACAACTTGAATCAACTTCGGCCGATCAGTACAATTACTATAGCTTTCACTTTCATCTATCGGTCAGTTCAAATAAGCAATGTTTTCATGATAAAATACCTGTGTATATATCACTGCAATTACAGTTTCATGATATTTCTATCAGACATGCATCTAATAGCATGGTACAGTGCCAGTCAAAGGGATTGCAGCACCTACACACTCGTAAAATGTGTGTAGCCTGTGTGTAGTATTCGTGGACACTGCGTGTAAGGTGCGTGTAATTTCACCTGTATGCGTGAATTTTAATTGGAGGAAGAAAGCTTTGTTATTCATACATGCATTTGCGTGTATTTTGCAAAACAAAAAGCCACTACTATCTTCAATAACACCACTAACTTCGATACACATGGCTCTCAATGGTCACAACAAAAGGTAAATTTAAAAGCCGACAAGCATTGCTAAATAAGTGGACTAGCTCAAGCACCTATCAAACAAATATTCCTTCTTAATCTGTAGCAGCCCACACTTCTGCTTAACATCAGAACTTAATTCTTAAAGATATCAGAGCTTTCGTTTACGCCAAAACAGCTACAACGTACGTCGCAACGTAATGTTTACCCACGCACGAAATATCATTTCAACTCCTGTTCCTTCGATAACAATGAAATAGGGATTCAAACAGAAACTCACGGACTCTCTCTTAATCTTAAACGGCAAAGAATCGTAACTTTTTTAACAGAATGTAAGCGTTCATTAATTTTCAATTCACCAGATTCGTGAGTAACCTTCTGACAACAACCCGTAATGTTTACAGCTTGTTCGTTTGATTATTTGGCTTAAATTACAATAAAGTACATATCACACATGCTACTTTTAGAACCCCTGCACACCCCAAATGATCAACACTCGTACCGGCACGTCTAGCTACAGCCGGACTTACAATCTTAGATCGTCTTGTTTGTCTTTGTTTAATGGTCAGTGTAAAATGCAGACTGAGGGTAAAAATGCAGACTGCAGACCACAGACTTCATTACTATATATCATGTTTTTTACAATATCTAGTGCTGACCGTAAATGGGAGTTATCAGGCTAATTGTAGTAGCCTGCTCTCAGGTTCACATTTGGAAGGTGAGCCTGCTCGCAGACTATACTTTTTGTGGTAGTGAAAGTCTACACTCAAGTTAGCCTGAATGTCACTCTGGTTAGCCTGTTGGCTTGAATGATGCTCAAGTTATGGCACGTTTTAAACATGAATGGTGAAATGACAAAATCCACCAACATCTGCCTATTTTGAATCGCTCTGCTTTTACCATTGTTTGTATTTCACCATTAATTTTTGTCAATCTGCCATTTTGCCACTTTGTCATTTTTGCATAATTTATCTCATTTTGCCATTTCATCATTTTGTTATGTCCCCATTTCCCCATTTCACTCCACCTCTAATAGAGACTGCATGCACTCGAAGATGTACTTGTCTTGTAACAGGCCTAGCTGGTGCCATTTTGCCATTTCGTCACTTTGTCATTTCACCATTTTGCCATTTCGCCATTATGCCTTTACACCTTTACGCCATTTCGCCATTTTGCCATTGTGCCATTTTGCCACTTAACCATTTCCACATTTTACATGTTATGGAACCAATGTCAGAATTGGTGAATAAGTTTGAAGTGGATTGGTTGGGCTCAGTTTTCAGACAGTGTTTCTCAAGAATTCCCCTTTTTGCATGTCATGTTGGTTTTCAGATTAAAAAAAAAATGGTTTTGTTTTGGTTTTTGAAGGAAGTCAAACAACTTTCTTGATCAGTTCTTTGCATGGTTCATTCACTAGGCTGAAAATTATCAAATTGAATGTACATGTGTTTAGTTATTTTTTCAGAGATATTTAAAAGGTATCTGCAGAGGAGAAAAAAAACTACTCCCCAGGGCAAGTAAATTTTACTCTTCGACTGGTGAAAATGGAAGTATTGTGGTCCAGTGGGCAAGTGAAATTAGCCTCAGTTGTCTTGTTGGGGATAATTTCCAATCAAAAACACTGCATTTCAAAACTTGATGAGCAAAAAAGATGAGCAAAACAATGACTTGAAAGCATGGATTAGTTTAGGTGATAAGGCATGAACTTAAATGTATACATGTATGTATAATCTTTATTTACCCTTAGCAGTGTTATAGCACCAGTGCTAGTCGGGCCGAGCAAAACAATGGAAACAAATCTTTCAAATTGAACATAATGTTGTTAAGAATCCCAACTAAACTGAGGCAAACCAGTTGGCTATTTACAAACGTGGCCGAGGATTTGAACTCGGGGCTACCAAGAAACTGGTCGGAGGGGGACTCAAACCTGGGACTGCACTGCCTCTGTTGCATGCCTCTGTCGCATGCCTATTGGGCAAGTAATATTTAAGTGGAGGCAACTGAAAACTGAAATGTACTGGCCCACCGGGCAACAGGATTTCAAAATGTTTTTCCTGCACTGTCTCTGGAAGTTAGAGAGGGCTTTTCAAATCAGTTGTAACAAAAAAGCAGAAATTGCTGGGAAGGGGGTGGTTGAATGATCACAGAATTCAGAAGACAAGAGTGGGAAGGTTTGAACATAATTAGAATTTCCAAGTCCAAGAAGGGGGCTTAGATGAAGATGTCACCCATGGTAGGATGTGGATATTTTCTGGAATCGCCCATTATCTTCATTATCTTAATTCTTAGTAAACAGCATTCACTTAGCTTTAAAATGGTGTTTTGAAAACAGAATTCCGTGACAAAATTTTCTGGAGGAAAAAAAATTACCTGAGACAGTAAGCACTATGAACTTGAAAGATGGTTTACGATTACAGCTGTAGAGTGAAATACTATCAAACACATCTTGACAATTTCAGTGAAATTGTCATTCTCTTACAATATAGCTATTAACTTAGAAATCTGTGGAATAATCGTGATGCAATTTGACAAAAACTGCACTGAAAAATGGCACTCATTGTGGGGCTATTTAATGCATCTAGAGCACTAAATTGTTACATACTGAAGAATCTGCATTTATTAACTGTAACTTTCAAGTCAAGTGGCAATTATGTGGAAATATATAGAGGTGAAATGGTAACAGTAAGTTGAAAGATGTAGGGATTCTCTTACAACTAGAGTGAAAATAGCAATTCTTTTAGATTTTAACACATCTTTCCCCCAAAGTTGTTACAAACTGCAGAATATGCATCCCATAGACTTTCAAATAGCATGTTAAATTCAAACATCTGTGGAAATATACTGTCCAGAGGGAGAAAAATTAGCTGTTTAGTTGGGACAACTGGTGAATTACATATGGACAGTTGAAGAAGCTAGTCATAAAAGGGGATAAGTGACGATTTTGGTTGCTTTTCTTTTTTCTTGCTCCAAATTAGCTGAA